GATCATATGTGGGGACTTGAACCACATACTTGACCCCAAAAGAGACTCAACAGTAAGACCAAACACACCCAGAAACACAACCCTCACACGAGAATGCAAGCCCCTGGTTCACCTACTTAGCGAACATGATCTATATGACGCATGGAGGGTACTACACCCGGAAGAAAGGGACTATACATTTTTCTCCCAGGTCCACAATACCTATTCCCGGATAGACGGGTTTTACATAAAGGGAACATTCCTCAACCAGTTAATAGCATGCTCAATAGGGAATATTACATGGTCTGACCACGCCCCAGTTACCCTCGAACTACTAGATGCATACGACTATAAACACAGGAGCCCGTGGAGACTGAATGAAACCCTCTTGCATGACTCCCAATTTTGTGAAAACCTCACCAACGACATGCACAGATACTTTGCCACCAACCAAATGCCTGGAATAACCCCGGAGACCCTATGGCAGGCACACAAACCGGTCATTAGGGGATCCCTCATAGGCAGAGCGAGCACACTAAAACGTGAGTCCCAAACTAAAACGAAGCACTGCCTAAAATCATTGTATAATCTCAACAAACAAAACCAGCTGACCCCAACTCCTGAGCTTAAACGGCAAATTCAGGAGAAACTAGGGGAAATTAAAGAACACGACCTGGCAAAAACAGGGTATCACCTTAGAAAACTTAAGACAACACAATACGTACAGGGTAATAGGGCAAGCAGATTATTAGCCAGGAGACTGTCACACAGAAGCGCAAACACTAAGATCCCATTCATTCACAATCACGCAGGGGAAAAGAAGGTGACACCCAAAGACATCGGGGATGTCTTTGCGGATTACTACTCATCTCTATACAGTCTGGGGAAAGAGGCTGACACAAGCCAACCAACTAAGGACAGGATAGAGAACTACCTAGAAGGGGTCTCTCTACCATCACTGACAGAGGAACAAATAGCTATGGTACAAGACAACATCACAGTAGCAGAAGTGCTTCAGGCCATATCCCACCTACCAAGCGGGAAAGCCCCAGGCCCAGATGGGTTCCCCAACAAGTACTACAAAAAATTCGCACATACCCTAGTCCCACACTTAGCAAACTTATTCAATGCACTCACTCGCAAAGCAGACACACCGGCGGAGATGCTGGGTGCACACATAGTTACGCTGCCTAAACCAGGGAAACCACCCACATGTAGCCAAAACTTCAGTCCAATCTCATTACTTAAAACGGACATTAAACTTTATGCAAAAATACAAGCCAACAGAATAGCTAACATAATCCCGACATTAATCCATGATGATCAGGTGGGATTCACAAAAGGCAGACAGGGTTCGGGCAACACCAGGAAGGTAATTGACCTGTTGTACAGCCTGATCGGAAATGGAGAGGGGGGGATACTTCTATCATTGGATGCAGAGAAGGCTTTTGACAGGCTCAACTGGCCTTTCCTGCAGGCGGTGCTTGGTAAATATAAATTCCCCCCAACCTTTATAAATGCCGTAAGTGCACTTTACTCCCACCCCACAGCCAGAGTCCTAAACTCTGGGTTTGTATCCAAACAAATACACATCACCAATGGATCGCGACAGGGGTGCCCCCTATCACCGCTACTCTATATTCTAGCGCTGGAACCCCTGGCAGCGGTCATTAGAGCTGACACAGACATACAAGGAGTACACCTGGGGAACAACGAATACAAGCTTAATTTGTTCGCGGATGATATCCTAGTAACACTAACACACCCCATAATCTCCCTACCAACACTGATGACAAGAATCCAAGAGTATGGGGCAGTATCATACTACAAGCTAAATGTCACGAAAACCCAGGCTCTTGGAATAAAACTAGGGGACAATCTCACAAACAGACTGGAAAGGGCATTCCCCCTAGACTGGAGACACGACCACCTAACATTCTTGGGTATCAAAATAACCAAAAACCCGGCTCATCTGTTCGGACACAATTACACCCGAATGTTGAAAGAATTTTCAGACACCTTGCACACATGGAGGGGTAGATACCTGTCATGGCTAGGTCGCATAGCGGCAGTCAAAATGACACTCACCCCTAAGATATAGTATCTTTTCCGGATGCTCCAAATACCAATACCAAAACAATTCCTAAAAAACATGCAACATACCATTAACTCATTCATATGGGAGGG